GGGGGTTTCAGTTCTGGGGAAAAAATGAGGAGTGTGGAATTGTATAACACGATATGGTGAGCAGAGGCACCCAGTGCTCTCTGATCTAGAGGTCTACATTCTACAGTTGAGGTGAGACAAGAACTGTCTTCCTCCTGGAGTGAAAAGTAGCAGTTGCCAAATGGAAGTTTCTAAGCGGTGATTGCTATTAATTTTCAGGAAATTAGTGGGAAACATTTTATGAAAGGGTACCAGTTGGTAAAACACATCCTCTTGTGTAGGCTCAGAGAGAGCTTTATAGGATTCGGAAAAAAAGTAGATTTGTCCAGTGATACTGACTGCCAAATGTAGTTTGAGATATTTGCATAAGGCTTATAAAATACCAGCCTTCCAGCCTGCAACTGTGTGTATAAAGGATATTTTTCAATAGTCTTTCAGGCCTTGAGGGATCCTAATAATTTCTGTTTGATGTAGGTGTTGTCTGGTCCAGAAAGTTCATGGAACCCGGATTTTCAAGAGTTCAGAATTTTTCATTAACCTGTAATTAGCTGCTACTCTTCTGTAAATGTCTGGGCCAGTCTTCATTCTTTGCTCATATGGCTTGTGAAGCATCAGCAACTAGAAGAGGAGAGCTATTTAACCTTTGCATATGTAGATGGAGAAGCAGTGTAGAGTTTGCCATGGAAGATTGAAGGAGTTGATGAAAATGACTTAACAAGACTAAAAGTAGAAAAGCGTCCAGCCCACCCCTGAGGGACAAAGAAATAGGTTGGTGGTTAAATTATGGAAGGCTGAAAGTAGGCTGGGTAAGTGTTGCTTTTGGGTGGCATGTATGGCCTACTCTAAATTTTGATTGTTCTAGATTGTAAGAACAAGATGATATCTCAGTGGCATAGTCTCTAAGAATATATGTGAATTTTTCCACTGGGTAGCTTTTTAGCAAGTAAGTGTAATTTTTTTCTCTTGGTTTGGTTTTGGTTTGTTTTTTTTTGCAGTTTGCAGGTAGCACTAGCTTTTATACCAGAAGGAAGCCTTATAAAGAGAGCTTACAAACAACATTGTAAATGATGTTAGTGATGAATTCTACAAGAACAATGAGATCTCTTATAGATGATAGACTTATGTTAAGTTCAGATTGCAGTGTCTCAAGTCAGAGCAATTTTTTATTCCAGTGTATGTTCTTAAAGCGGAACAGAAGTTGTGCCAAAACAGGTTGGCTGTTCGAATTGCAGAAGAGTTAAGATTGGAACGTTTCCTATTGTTTTAGCAGCGACTGCTGCGCGTTGGTATCTTTGATCTTCAGTGTTCAGTGGAGCTCTGTAACACTGTAACATGTTTTCTTATCTTTCTTTCTGTTTCCCGGTAGCTACATTTCGCACTGCTCTCTGGCATCCCTCACGTTCACCTTAAGCTTTTGTACTCGCTCCACAAACACGTTCTGCTTTGCGTTTGCCTTCAGCCTGATAGTTGCCAGGCTTACTGCAAGAGGATAGCAAGGCTTCTGCTAGAGGTTTTGTTCTTAAGCTTGCAGATGGATTAAGAACACTGTTAGGTGTGGGATGTTAGCATTTTTTAGTATTTGTCATGGTTGGTGTAAGTATATGGATAGCCTTAAAACTACTAGTGCATAAGGAGAGTGTTTACGCTGTACGGAATATTGAGGACTTGCACAAGCACTTTGTTAGATCTTGTAATTGCAGAAGTGGGAATAGAGATACATATATGTATATACAGGTAATATATCAAAGGCTGCTGCACTTCCTCCAGACAGTCATGATTCTTGAGGGCTTACAGAGCGCCAAGGAATGGAACGAGTTTAGCGAACTAGAAGCGGCTTGGGAGTATTGGCAGCCCAAGATGTGTTACGTAGCGGTTTGTTTATTCTTTTTCTCTTCTCTCATCTTTACCCTTCCACTAGTGGCCCTGAGGAAGGGCTGTGGGAGCGTTTCCAGGCATTAGGACAAAGATTTTTAAAAAGAGAGAAGGGGTGAGAAATCTATAAAGCTGTATAGTCAGACCACAAAAGGGAGTGTTAAGTTTAACAAGCTGACTTGAAAGCAGCCTTTGACTCCATGATTGTCAGTAGATGCTCGTGTGTTTTGAACTCCAAAAGCATGCTACCCTCAAGCGTTTTTCTGAGGTCGGTGTCCTTCTATACCTGTGTATAATGCAGTACATACACTTAAAAAGGGAATATTCTGTAGGATTGGACAAACTGCCTTAATGTCTTCAAATCACTACAGTGTTAAGGAAGCATAGGTGTTCGAAAAGATTTTACACTTTTTTTAACTATATTTTGAAACAATTTTTTTTCTGTTTTTATGTGCTTGGCCACTATTTTGAGACAGGATAGCAAGGGGAAGGTGAAGAGGAGAGTTTAGACGTTTAGACCTTTTTTTTTTTTTTTTTTTTTTAAATTATTGTATGTTCTCCTCACAGACTTTACTGTCTTATCTTTAATGATTTTCATTCATTTTGACAGTGGCATTTTATTCTTAGCAATTTGTTTCATTACTGTGCTGTCACGTTACTTCTAGATTAAGCGTTTAGCAATAAAAAGACTTACTTGAACTATTTATCTATAGCTTAAGTTTTCTATGTTTTATCTGCAGAAACTCCTTGGTAAAATGGTAAGACTCTATGAGAGACGAATTGACTGGCTGTCTGTTGCTAGCAGAAGAATATGGGGAAGTGTTTGTGAGAGGAGGTACTGTACTTTGATAGCCCTTTGTGTGTGTGTGTAGGCAATGGTTCTTATTTGCCAGCCTTTGCTTTGTGTATTAAGTGAGCACCAAGGAATGCAGGCCAGAAAACAGTCAGATGTAGAGGCAACAGATGCAGATATCGCTAGTGCAAGCAATCCACTTTTGAAAACAGATGTTGATATTCAGCATTTTTAATGATTCAGTGAATTTACCATCGTCAGTCAATGCACAAAACTGCAGTTTCCACGAGACAGGATGAGACTCTTAAATTTGAGTTATCGAGCAAGTAAGCTTTGGGAAATGTTCTGTCTTAAATCACACATAAACAGAACCTGATGTTTCTGGCCAAAGGTTTCCAGTCAGATTTCCAAACACGTGATATTAGTGTTTATACCTGGAGTATTTCAACACATGTGGCTTCTTATCAGGAGATGAGGTTCAACCTCCAATTACCTCCTCCTTTCACCACTTGCTGAGGTGTATTCTTGTGCCAGATGTGAAATATCAGTGTAGGTATACCCTAAAATCCAACCTAGAGGTCTGTACCTGACTATATATTTGAGGACGAGGTTTATTTGCATTATGTCTGAGCCTTCACTACATCTTCTAACTGGCTTTAGTTGCACAATTGCTTCTTTTTGTCCCACTTACCAATCTTGAATATGAAGCTTCAGAGCACAGGAAGATATCAGAGGCCATTGTTACTTAAGATTTCCTTGTTCATTCATCAAGGATTGAATTAGCCCTACTGGACACTGTGTTATATTGGGAACTCACGTCCCACTGACTGTCCATCACACCTGTGATTCTGTTCATAATCACTACTCCCCAGATACCACCTGTCCATTAAGTATGGCAAGCCTGCATTGTCTCTACAACCATGACTTTGTACATTACCATACTGAAGGAGGTCACCATTAATACTTTTTCCCAAAACAAGCAATATATATGCCAGATAATATCAGCCAGGCCATAGCTGAGCAACCAGTCTGTCAGTCACTGACTTGCTGTGAGAAAAGTTACCATGTGTCTTTGGAGTGATGTTACATATGATGGCTGGGGAGAGGACAATGGACTGTCCAACAGCTCTTATTGTTGGATAACTTCTAAACATGTCAGCCGTGTTCTGAATATTCCAGTACTGAAAGAAAAAGGACCTATTTAAGGGTCAACAATCAGTGTGGCACTACATGTGCCAGTAGCCTGATTATCCCCTAGCTTAATAAAGATAGTATTTTCCTTTATTGAGCTAACATTTTGCAGATTTTTTCTTCTATGTATTCAATATTCATACATTTTTATTCATGGTTAGAAGATACTTTCCCTATTGAGTTAAAGAGTACAGTGAAGATGAGAAACATGTTATTTGTCAAAAAAAATCTTATTTAATTAAATATTCTTATCTAGGGTGGTTATACTTGTTGATATATCAGTGACAAACTCTGCGTACATCATCCATATTCAACATTCTTTGCGACTTTTGCTTGAGGAACAAATGTCAGATAAGGATTACTTCAATATTATAGCGTAAGCAGCCATTTAATATGATCTTTTAAAATAATTGTAACGTAATGCAAGAAGTATGGTGATAGATTGTAGTTACTAATGAGTACATTTTAGATTTGTTAATTGTATTTAACGCTTCATGATGAAAGAGTTGCAAGAATAGTACTGATGTATCTTTATTGGATAGGTGTATTGATGAACAAATGCCAAGTTAGTAATTAAAAAACATTGTTTTATATGGGGCTCACTAAAGTTGGATGCATCATACATATAACATTCTCTTCCTATTGTATTGTTCATAACAGTATCAACTCACATGTCAGAAACTTTTTCTAGAAGAGAATTTTGGAGACCTCTCAGGTACCATTACTGAGAATGCCCTTTAGATTTTACAGGAACTCTAATAGTTTTTCTAATACGTAAAAGTACTACAATTCTGCACTTATAATAGTGATCAGAAACATATGGCACAATTGCCAAGCAGCTGCTGGTCAGGTTTCTGAATGGTAGGTAACAGCGAGAGGCAGCAACTCCAGAGTTCGAGACTCTTGAGAGAGTAGATCCCTTGACTCATGGGAGGGATGCAGCTGTAAGCCGTATCTCAGGATTGGGGTTTTGTATGTTTGGTTGGTTGTTTCGGGGGGAGGGGAAGGAAGGAGACACAGGCGGACAATCCTTCCAAACCTCTGTTGAGCTTTGACCAGGTCATTTACTGTACAGCCCAGGAAAGAAAATTGTAGTCAGGCCCACTGCCTTGAAAAGCTGTCAACCACTGAGTGATGGATAGATGTGAATAATTAAATGGTCTGAAATAGAAGTGAGCATCAGATAATTTTAAATCTATAACAATTTTTATTGTTATTGTTACCAATACCAATTGTTATTGTTAACAATATTGTTAACAATATTGTTATTGTTAACAATTTTTATTGTTATTGTTAACAATTTTTATTCCCAATTTTTATTCCCCAAATCTATAACAATTTTTGTTGTCCCCAAACAATTTTTTTCAGTGAATTTATTCCCTACATTTGTATGTTGTAAAGCATAATCTGAAAATTAATTACTCTTATCTTTCTGAAAAAGCTTTGGGAATGACATTGTGCCTTGGCAGCCAGAACTGGTTCCTTCCCAACCAGAAAACTTACAAAATGCTTGGAGGTAGGCTTGAATAACTTAGTCATACTTTTGAATTAAGCAAATGTAGATACCATAAAACAGGTGTAACAGAGAATCAGATTTAATCAGCATTGTGAACAATTTAGACAATTGAAAAGTTGATTATATTACAAAAATAGTTTACCATGAACTGTTCTACACTTTTTGTTCATTCGTGATGGTTGGTTTGTTGAAAAAGAGCATCATAAGGTTTAAATGTCTAGTGACTGTATTTCCAGTGTTCAGCGTACAGACACAAAAGTGTCTGTATAAGGAATGCACTGGTTATATGAAAAATTCCCAAAAACTTCAAATTCAACTGAGATCTGAACCCTGAACTTCTTTTTCCCCCCGCACACACTGGAACCAAATTCCAAGTTTCTGTCTGTGGAATTATACCCTCAGTGATAGCTCTAGTTTTATTTTATTCCGTAGTAAACCTATAAGTTCTGCTATTACAATTATTCCACATAAAATGCAGAGATAATTCTTTCTTTTCAGTGGTCTGAATTTTATCTTAAAAACTAGTTTGCCATGGTTGCAAACCATAGTGGCAAAAGGTTATCATATAACTTGGTTTTGCTGGCTGTCATTGTTCAAATTTCTGGATTCCGGTGCGTTATTACTTAGGGTTCTTATTTCTCTCTTTATTGCTTTAAGTGGGGGGGAGGAGGAGACAGGACTTTCATTTCTTCATTCTTTGAACTGTGATTATTTGTAAAACATCTCCTTTTAGGTGGATATTGAGCTTGCAGTGCAAAGGGAGTAGAAATTTCATGAGTGCTCTCAGAAGAGCTGTGGAAGTAGACTTCAAAGACAAAGATAAACACAAATCACAAGGAATGTACCTGCTTACTACTGGAATACCTGATCAGGAAACAGTGAGTATCATCACAGGTTTTGCAACTCCTATCAGTAAATTCCTATCAGAATTAATCTCAACTTTATTTTTCTTTCCCTTTTCCTTTGTGCTAGTCACTGTAGTTGTTGGGAGAACATTTCTCCTTTACATATGTAAGCCAGCCCAAATATCAGACTTCAGTTTCTACAATTGCTGTTTTTCTGTTGTAGGTAGTAAATACTAATCATGGGTGAACTGCAGATAGTTCTGGAGATGTTTTGGGGATTCCACCCACGTCTCACATCTTGGCTGCAGTGATACTGTTACCATTGCCACTAGTAATGGCAACGGCAATAAATTTTGTGTATGTGCATGATTAGAAAAGGCATTCAGCTGCTCAGGCTGTGTTCCTGTACTGCACCACTCAGGTTGGGAGTGTTTGCACCACAGTTAAGGAACCAGTTGAGTAGATAGAAACTCCTCTGAGGTGGAGGGTCACTACTGTGTTTTTTGTCTTGCAGCACACAGTTAGCGCTTATGTGGCTGAGACTTGCGGAGGCTGTGATTTGCAACTTCATGTCTGTCTGTTCAGTGTAATGGAGGATGTTGACTCCAGTGGCATTATTCCAGCTCGCTATGCTAATCCAACCGAAACTGCCATTGCTTTTAAAGAGATAATACAGGCAGCTAATGGAAGATTTCATTGCTTTGGAGAAGCAGGTATGTGTAAAGGAAAGTTGGCACATACTACTCTTTCATTAATTAATATTCTTTATTACTGCATCTCTTTCCCAAAAACAAGTTCATTACTTTTTAGGATGTGATAATGCTGTACTAGCACTGAGATATAAAAAAAAGGTCCTGGTCTGATCAAGGCTTTCAGTTGTATTGCAGAATAAATGTTTTATGATAATGCAGCGTTAATGCAGGAGTTTGAATTTAATTAAAATAGATATAATTGAGAGAACTATTTTCTGCTAGGTATTTTCAAGATGGGCACTTAAAGTATAGTTACTAATGTAGTAGGTCCAGAATGCCTGGTACACAGGAAACAAAGACTTTTTTCTTCTTTTTGTTGCTTTTTTGGCATGCTGTACAAGTGGTTGTACGCATAAGATACTTGTTTACTGATAAGCATATATTTGACTATCAGGTATCTTTGAAAGTGATGATATCAACATTATTGTGTCTGAAATGGAAAAAGCAATCAACTACTCCCAAAAGGTATGAAAGTTACGTTTTTCTTCAAGGGGGAAAAAAAAAAAAACAACAGTTTTTGCTTAGCTAACAGTGCAGAAGATGGGACAAAATGAAAATCCTTATGAGATGGGCAACGATGACCTAGAGCGTGAGGAAAATAGTCAAATTTGAGTAAATATGGACTAGAAAGCAATTCTATAATAGTGCTGCTGTGGTTGGTGGTAGACTGCCAGTGATTCCGTATCAAATACAAGGAGTTTACAATTAAAGCAATTTTCTTTGTTGCCTATGATTTTTTTCAGTACAATTAATTGTTCATTTATTCCTTTATAAATCACAGTGGAGGGAGGGGATGTTGTTACTGGCATAATATATTTGTTCATTTTTAGAACAACTGTTTTCTCAAGTGTACTAAGGGTGTAGAACTAGACAAAACAGTATCTCTCCCTATTGTATGCACTTGACTTTTTCCAGAGATATCTATCAAAGTAGCTGAGGTAGCACAGTCAGCCTTGCAATGTGATAGTTGCTTCTTACAAAAGTGTAATTAGAAAGATGTATGCAGTGAGATTTCTGTCCAGAGGTCTGGGCAAGTTGTTGCATGCTAGCCTGAGCTGCGGAGTTTTTGTTAAGAAAAGTCGGGGGCAGAGAGGATGGAATATTCAATGGGATATTTGTGTGGGATGCTAATTTGTATTATTGTTTAATACTTGCATATACTTGGTTCATCTTCCTCCCATTTGTTATGGTTTTGGTTGCACATACTGTTGCCTTGCCTTTTAGAACACTTGCTCAGAGCAGGGAAGATTTCCCTCCTGTGTGTTTGAACAAGCCTGGCATGAAGAAGTTTGTTTTTTTGTGTAGAGGTGCTAAGCATAACCAGATTAATTTGGTATTAGATGTATTATTAAAATAATAAATATGTCCGTCTTTGAAATGTGTTTTGCTTAAATTCCCTGTGTATGATTATTAAACAATCTGAACTTTCATTTCAGTGTGCACTGCTAGTGAAATCCTTAAAGCAACGTTCAGGAAATCAGCCTGTTAATCCGTTTGTACCAGAAACAGACTCAAAGATGCTTGTGAAGAAAGAGAAAAGAAGGCCACAGAAATTGCCATCTCCAAAACCCACAGCTCTGAGTCTGGCTAGAATGGTTTGAAATCATTCAACATCCCATTTTTAAGATGCTGTCAGTTTTTATCAGTGATCTTACCTGAGTATCCGATGCTGCTCTTTTCAAGACAAGTGCTCAGGCTGAACACTGAAGGAAATAGAACGTTACTGTGATAGTACTCTGAATTTACGTTTTAACTTGCATTCAAAATGTTACATAAACAGAAAAAACATTTTTCTTCCTCCTGCTGAGTAGTTAAATATGATGGAACCACATTGTAGTGTCAAAAATTGTTTAAATAATCCTTCCTCTGACCTTAAATTTAGTGTTTAACAAAGACAAAGGCAGAGCAGCAGGTTACTTTACCAAGGTACTTCCATTTTGCAAGACCTTCTAGCGAATGTTGAATTGTATGGTATCTTGTTCATTTACACATAGGGCAGCTGTAGCTGAATAGCCTAGAACTAGGATTAGAATTCAGGATTTGTCTCCTGCCTCCTGTGCTTATTTCCATGGAGTCGCACTACTTCTATGAGACCTTTGGGGTTTTGTTAATGTTTTCCTTGTTAATTTTTGACTGCATGCACATCCACTCAAAACAGATGTGTAAATCTGTAATCCACATATGTGGCTAGTGCCAGTGCTCACCACTTTGGTGTATACACGACTAGATACAGAACTTCATATTTCAGAGGATATACTTAACTTTTGACATGACATTTTGAAATAGGAATAGCGGTCTCCAGTGTATCTGTGTTCATGTTGGAAATACCTTTGTAGGTAAGCTCAACAGGTCTTCCATGTTATTTTATTAAAAACAGTATATGCTCAACACCATCTCGCAAATGCAGGAAAAGAGTAATCACTCAGATGTATGAACATGTAGCATGGTTTCATATGAATTAAACTTGTAGAAAACTGATACAGGTTAGTCTGTAGATGTCTGATGTTTCTTTCGTATAATATTTACAGTAGAGCTGTATAATAAATTAGAAAATTAGATGTCAGTTATTTGAATGCTCTGTGCCCCAGCAAAGTCTGATTCTACAACAGTGGTAAAAAGGTTTTCAGGTTGTTTAGCAGGGAGTGCTCAGCCCTTAGAGCCATAACTAAAGGCAAAATTACTATTTTCAACACTGGGTTTCCAATACTCAGTGCAACTCTGGAAAAAAATACTACATACTGTATTCTATAAAATAATGCCATTACTATAATAGATTGCTGCTTTAGGTGGTAAAAATGGTCTAAACTTGTCTGCTTCTGAAGATGGTAGTCTTCAGTTTTATGGCAACAGTTGAAATTGGCAAGAAAATTGAAACAGAGCAATTAGAGTTACTTAACCTAGCAAGAAGTCACAAGTTAATAAGTCTTTATTGCAATCTGCTGATTTGTCAGAAGTGCTAGAGTAAAACAGGAATTGGAGAATAATGAAGGATGGTTCCTGTTTTGAATAAGTTACACAATTATGATCTAGTTGAAGTTTTTTAATTTGTAATTACCTGCGCTTATAGTTTATTAAAGACAACTACGGTGAAGAGAGAAATGCTGGCATAAGAGTGTTGAAATGGCGTCCTACTAGTACGAAAGCAGAAATTCCACCAGGTCCGTATGGATTAGGGGCTTTTTGGTCTTCTGTTTGTTTGACTTTGCTAAGAAAACATTAAACTAGAAGAGAGAGATTAATATTTTAGAACTATTTGCAATTTTACATCTTTAACCGAACTGACAGGAGACATTGCAGTTGTTTTGAAATCAGGTCTATATGAGTTTTAGCTGTAATGTATCAAGCTTCCTTTCAGGTTGGAGGAGGAAGGAAGCATGTAAGGTGCTGTGTGAAAAGTTAATTGGCTCTTGCAGCAAATTCTATGCTTATTCTGACCCACTAATCTTTTCAAATTGTGCCCTGTGACATTCTTTCTGATGGTAATTTATGAATTCCTGAAGTCTGTGGTTGCCGTTTTTATGAAAGTAGCATGAGCAGATCTGTAATATGGATTTTTTTTCTAACCAGTGTCTAAGAAAATTAAGTATGTTTATCTGTGGCAATAGGAAACTATGAATCAAAGAGGGTTGCTTGTCAGAGTTTTATCCCTAGCTGAATCAAGACAACTTTTTTTTTTTGTTTTTAATTGTAGCACAAACAGTAAAAGAATGGCCTCGGACTGGGAATAAAAGACAACGTAAATCAAGGAAACAGACAGAGTTCTCTCTGTCAGTATTTTATACTGATAAAGGAAGAAATGTGGGTAAGAGTTATTAAGATATGGTGGGTAAACACATCAGCCTTTTATTATAAAACTATTTGGATATTAATGCACCGATAAACAGTGGGCTTTAAATTGTGAATGAGTTTCACATATCAAGTAGTGGTTGTGAGTGGTTGTGTGTGTGTGAAGAGCTTTGAGATCTTCTGGTCGAAGGTGCTATAAGAAAAAATGCTGTCATTGTGATGTAGATGATTAGAGAAGGTGTGGTTTGGAATCTTCTGCATAAAATCAGTTTAAAAAATAAGTGACTCTTTATGTACATTGTTTTAAGGTAACATTGATACATTTTGTCAAATGCGAAACTGCGTGTGAAATGCAGGTGGCTTTTTTTTTTTTTTTTTAAACCAACAGGAAGACTATTATATGCAACTTCAAAAGGGCTGTGATTTTAACCCAAGACTCCCAATATTACTTTATTTGTGTTCTTACTAGGTGCAGTGTACCAAAAGTATCCAGAGACAATGAATGTAAGGAAGTCTGTTCCTTCTGTTACGTTGCCAAAAAAAGAGGAAATTTGTTCAAGCAAACAGGTATTTCGTTCCTTACTAATAAACTGCCATTTTAGAAAATCTTAATATGAATTAATATGAACATATTTATTTTGATTCTTCTGTACAATGTGTTATTACTTAATAATGAGTCTTAATATTTACACATTCAACCAGTTGCTCTATTTGTTTGTCTTACAAGTGGCTGGCCAAGTACAGTATTAAAAAGCTTAAACTGGAATTGCCCAGACTGATGTTCGGTCCAGACTGTACTCACCAAAAGAAAATTGTGGAGTCTCTGCACAAGAAAGTATCAGCAAAATATTGCGCTATCTTCCCTAGCGTAGAAATCAATGTAAGCTTTTTGCAGATATATATGTACATCAACGAAATAGCTTTGTATTTGGTTAAGACAGTGCACGTTGATCACTGATTGTGGCGTACTAGTGTGATGTTCACCCTATCATTTCCTGCTGTACTCTCTAAATCACCTTGCCACTAGAAAGCTAGCAAGGATCTTTTATTCAGTATGATAAATATTAAATATATTTGAAGTGCAAACTGCATGGGATCTTTAGACTGTATGGGATCTCCTCTGCTCATATGGTCTGAAAAATATATTTTTAAAAAGGGACTTTTATTTCGGTTAAGTTTTTAGAAATCCTATGTGAGTGGAAACTGTTGGATCTTGCTTATTATGGTATGTGGAATGAATGGAGAGGAGCATTGCAAATTAAGTGTAGGATATTACTCATCTGTTGCATGTATAACACTATCACAAATAATGCAACAGATGCCCTATCCAGTCAAATTATATAATTTTGTTGCCCTGAACAACTGGCTGAGATGAGAACTAGGCTTTTGTAATTTGAGTAAACCAATTATTTAGTAGCAGTAGAGTCACAAAAGTTTTCTTGCGCTATTTCATATATTTAAAGACAAAAAAAACCTAATCTCCCTGATTTCTAATGCAGATAATGCATATAGACAGCTGAGCTCACATCTGCTGAAATAAGATGCTCTTGTACAAATTGAATATTTACAGGGGGTTGTGAAACATCTGCAGTTTCAGCCTAAAGAATTGGAAAGCTATGCTGAACAAATAAAGAAGGTGTTGCAGCGCTATATACAGAGAATACAGTGGCTTCTGTCAGGTATTGCTGTGCATCAGTTTTTCTTTAAACATGCTAAAAAAAATAATCTTCGTACCTGCTATTTCTACTAGGATTAATCTGAGCACGTAGTCAAATACGAGATCAAACAAAGAGCTGTTGTGCCTATTCTGCAACAATTCTGCAGCTACAAGTCACAGAAGAATTCCCTTTTATGTTCTTTTTTTGTTGCAAACTATACCCTGGAAACTAAATTTTCATTTTTCTTTATTTAAAAAAAAAATCTTGATTTAGGAGTCTTTGGTTGTGAACAAAATACTAATAAAGTGTAAGCTTGATATGCAGACTGCTTGAGACAACAGATTTGAGTGATGCCAGCTGCCTCTGTTAATAGCAATAAATTGTTAACCTTGACCCTTAATGCAATAGTTTAAATGGCAATGTTATCTCACCTTTTAAAACTTGTTTAATATGTCAGTGTCACAATTCCAAAAGAATTTCTCATGGTTCCTCAGCTCCAGATGTTTTTGCTATTTACTGTCCAGCAACTTGATAAGTAGGGTAATTTTAGCAAATCTCTCACAGCAGTATACAAGTGATGTTATAAAAACATCCGTTACACTGTAATTGTACAAGAAATGTAAACATAAAGGTAAATTTAACATCAAAATCATACAAGCACTACTGTATTGATATCAGCTACTTTGCATTTAATTGAACTCATTTTAAAAAATACTTAGACAAAGATAAAATAGGGTTTCTGGTTTACATTACTCAGATACAGGAGAATTCAGCATCGCTGTAGCTGATATACTTGTAGCTTACTGTGAAATACTTAGTGCTGTGATGTATGTTTTTTACTCCTTTTATGTTATGTTGATGGATTCAGCCAGGCAGATGTTCCTACTGTCAGAATTTGTCTATCAACAGGACATATAGAATAATGGCCGTAAGAAAAATGAGCTTTTCTGCCTCTTTACTAAGAATGGGCACTATTCAGAAGTTCAGTATTCCTGTTGGTAAAAGTATTGTGATCTCTCTGTTGCTCATAAAGATGTTGCTTGTGGAATAGATTAATTCTTTGCTGGATTGCAAAGCAACATCAACACATAGTTTAATGGAAGTTGCCACAAGTGGCTACCAATTAATGCTTGATAGCAGTGGATTTGAAATGGCAAAAGACTTTTCCATTACCAACCCTTGAACTACCTAGTTTCCCTCGCAGGTTAAAATTCGTTATACAGAAATGTGCCCAGAATAACCCCTGAAAACTGAAGAGGGAAGATTCAGTAAAATAAGCCTATGAAATGACACTTAATTAGTCTTAATGTTCTGATCCAGGAAGCCGAAGATTGTTTGGTACCATTCTGGAAGCTAATGTCTGTGTTTTGATTGATACGTCTGGTTCCATGGAGCCTTATTTGCCACATGTCACAAAAGAACTTACCTCCCTCATCTGGGAACAACTGAGAAAAAATGAAGTCAGGCATGTATAAACAACTGATAAAGATTGGAATATGTATTACTTACTTTTATGTAAAATTACATAATAATTACTAATAAAACAGTACTGAAACACAGTGCAAGTAATTATGTTAGTGTATAATGTGCATATGACATGAACTGCTTTTTTTGTTGTTTTTGTAACCAACTTCTAATTCTCCACCCTGTAAGATTTAGGCCTCATTTGCCATTGGTGATGGGCTCCTCATTCTCATGGCATTTTCTGGTGACTCGGAACAAGAGTCTGAGTCTGACACCTCCAAAGCTGAAGACTTTATTCCAATACTAAGCTGTTGGATTCTTTTTTTCTTTTCTATTTCAAAACTGGTTCATCCAAGATGATTGATAATATTGATTAGGGTTCAATGTTGTGGGCCATCTTTCTCCCCAGGTTTAACCTGCTGAGCTTTGCAGAAAACACAGAGAGTTGGAAGGAGTATCTTGTGGAGGCAACTGATGAAACATGTCATGATGCTGTACAGTGGCTGTCCAAATTTCAGGCTTATGGTAATACATGCATTCTTATGGCTTTACAGGTTAGTAAATTGTGTATTATATTGTGGTGAAGAAGGAATGGTGTACTGTAGTGATTAAAACGCTGACTGATAATATTTTAAAGCATCTGACTGATAATATTTTAGGAAAATTATTTGGTTGAAGTGCACAACACTTTTTACATGCAAAACATTGAACAGATCTGGAATCAAGCCACTGTTCCTGTCCCCAAAGTTCATAGATACTAGAATTCATTGCTTGTATTGAATTTAGGGAAAACGTGACGTGTCAGTAGTTGCATTAACCTCTATGTTCAGAGAGTACTGGAGAAGGAAAACAGCCAGTTCTTCAAAATGATGTTCATATAAAGCTATTGATTGTGATATATTTACTCATGGCCAAATGTGGACTTGTAGAGAAGCAGTGGTTGTTGGAACAGCATCCTCATTGGGTACAATTCTTGAACTTCAGTAACAACTGAAGAAACCTTTTTCATATAAAAAATTCTCAGTGTAGAAATTCACAGCAATAATAATTCAAAACAGGGACTGAAATGATTTGCAGTTTCATGAGATTTAAAATTTAAATCAAAATGTAATTCAGAAATTTAAATCAATGTTGCCTTAAATGAGTGATTCTTATTTGAGAGACCCTTACAGAATCTTCATATGAAGTTTCTGGAATGGATGGTGAATCAAGTGCAGCGGAATTCTAAGATATATCTATATTAGAGAAATGTCCACTGAGCCAATTACCATAGCAAGCTTTCATAATATAAAAAGGCCAAGTCCTACTGGGCCTGATTTTCAGACATTAAACATCTATAACTCCCAGCATACAAAGCATGGTCTAAAAATCCCGTCAGCAGTTGTCTACAACCAGATCAGTGAATCTGCTCATTTTTAGCTTATTTCAGTGAGTGAGTTTTTGATGATGTCTTTCTCATAGATTTGTTGCCTTATGCTACAAACAATATATTCATTTATTCTTAAGAAGCTGTATCCTTGCAAAGCAGCAACTAAAATTTCTTTCATACCTAGTGAAAAGGAAAAGACAATGCTGACTTGATTTATGATGTGGTAAATACACGGCTATCTTACATTATTGGAATAGTGTTTTCATTCTTAAATATAACTTTTTGTATAAGATATTCTAATTATTTAAGCTTATTTTTCTGCTTTTCAGAAGGCTTTCAGTTTTCAAGATATAGAGGCACTGTACGTATTGACTGATGGAAAACCAGATACCAGTTGCAGTCTCATTTTAAAAGACATTGAAAGATTGAGAGAGAAACAAGACATTAAAATCCACACCATTTCTTTTAGCTGTACAGACAGGTATATGATGTTTTGCTACAGACAGGTATATGATGTTTTGCAACCAAAAGAAAATATTTTTTTTTAATTACTAGTTTACTTACGGTCAAAGAGGGCTGTGTTGCCATGCCACGTGCTCAGCTCAGTGGAGACCGGGATTGAGCTAGGCCTTTATCCAGGTGGAAAGCGAGTGGGCTGTTCTGACACAGGTGTTTGCCACCTAGACTACATCTCCCACAGTTCATATGTTTGTGAGAATTGCCTTCAAATACACAGAGAAGGATATGCATCACTAGACTGCAGCACTGAGGTCAGTCCTGTGGTTGTGTCACAAGACTTGCATACACACATCCCCCCACCACCACCCTAGAGATCTAGACAAAAGTAATATACTTGCCATGGATTGGAATCAGGAGCGCTAGGAAAGTGCTGGTGCAGGCCGTGATAGGGTGTGAGTTAAAGATATGTCCCTGTATGTTCCTTTGCAGGGATCTTTGCACAGTTCAGAGCTGGGAACCCTGGAGCAACATCAGAAAGTATGTGCACCTCTAGATTCTGCTGCATGGTGGCTGTGTGGCCTAGGGAGCAGATAGCCACACAGGCAGCAGGCTTTCCAGAATAGGTGCATGTCTACTCTGCCACCCCAAAATGCCGTTGTCCCAGGTCTTCAAAAATCCAGTCTTTGTTCTCTTGAATGTAGCATTGCCTCCCAGCCCTCTTGTCCCCAGTGGCAGACATGAGGTTAGCAACTTCTGGATAATGCCACTGGGTTATCAAGCTGCCATGAGAAACTTTTGACCCTCTCATAGCACAAATTGATAAGCAGTGTTGTTTCTGTTGGGTGCCAGGCTGCGTTCCTCTGAATTCTGAGATGGATGTTGCCAGGTAAAAACTTTGAATTATTGGTACTAAGATAAAAAAGTCAACTTTAAGTATTTATGAAGAATTGTCTGTCATCAATATTTTGAGTTGATTTGCATATCATTTGATTAACCAATCAGTAGTCAATCATTGTCTGTTAAGCAAATCTACTAATAAAGGAGACGCACTTCTGACTGTGAGTTACTCTGAAACAAAATCTGCTTCATTTTGGAAGAAACGTCCTAGTAGTTATGGAGATTTTAGTGTCCAGTTCTAGAATTTAATCAATCCTTGCAGCTTAATTTAAATTAATGGAGATACGACTATTAGCCCCAGGAAGGGCCCTAATCCTTGGGAGAGAGGGCTCTAAAATGAGATATAAAAGAATTGTAAGGATGTGTGATTTAGCATACTTGTAATGAGAATATAATAATAACTACACTAGTTATCCCAAAGGTTCATCTTTCAGGCAAGTAGTAGGGGCTTAGAAAAGAGTATAAAAAATAGGAGGCACGCAAAATGTTCCTTCCCCTTATGGAGTCTCCCAGCTTTCAGCTTTCTTTCCCTGTGTAAAATATTACTACCCGTTCTCTGCCAACTTGGTTTCTGAGTTCTTTTGTTTTAGTTTCCTTTTTCAGTTCTGTTGTTGTGATGAATCTCTTGTCCAAAAATAACCTCATTTTGGAGGTTATGGCAACTAGGCAGTATATATTCTTCATTAGAAGCTGAAGATTAGAAATGGCTTAGACGTTTATAATGATATCCTCCAAACTACTTGTTTGGACATAAGATTTTCTTTGAGAAGTTCTTAAGAAATTCTTCTTCTATTGTTGTTGCTTTTAGAGTAACAGTTTTCGTAAGTAACTTACTACTTTATTGTCAACAGAAGAGCTAATGAATTTCTGAAGAAGCTTGCTTCCCAAACAGGAGGGCGCTACCATTGCTGCTTTGGAGATGTGGATGGACAATTAGCAGCACACAGAATGTTGACAGAGGGGCTTGATGATGATGATGTATGTTAAGTGACTCTTTTGGTTTTGTTTAATTTCAGCATAGTTCATCAGTAGTCAAACTGTGTTTTTAAAAAAAAAAAAAAAAATCATTAGAAAGTAAATGCAAGACTCTTCAGATACTTCACACTGAAACCAAACAGACATTCTTAATATCTAGCTTTGCCTCTCTGCCAGCTGCCTTGGCCAGGTGGCCAAACCCATGAAAGAGGGATAGAATGCAATATAACTTTTGAAAGAGAACTAGAAAAAAAAATCCTATATCGCAACACTTTATTTTTAAGCTAAGGTTAGCTTTTATTGTGCCCTCTTACTCTCACCATCTTGTATTTAATTTTTGTCATTGTAAAATCCTTATACAGTGCTTAAGAAAATACAGCTCCTGCAGGAGACCTCCATGATTATCACAGTAAGAAAATATATTGGTGAACAGAACCATATTTAACGGAAGAGTTGCTTTGCTCTCCCTCTGTAAATACAAGACTTTGTCTACCTGTATGTAGGAGCATTGAGATTTTGAGCTTTGGCTTAGTTAATTAAATTATTAGAAATTGCAAAAAATAAACAAGTACAGAGTAAAGTATAATATTTCAATTTTGTTTTCAGCATCCAGTTTTCCCTTACTTTGAAGGAGATGACTTAAAGAAACTTGCTCAAGAAGTAGCAAAAGCCAGAAGTTTTTTAAAGCAGGCAAAGTCTTTGAAGTGAGTATTTCTAAGGAATCTTTCAATAATTGCTTTTTTCCTTTCGTGAAGGGAAGACAAGAATATCTGACTTAGTGTCTGCCTTTTATAAAAGAATCGCTGTTTCTTCCTTGTACTGTTAATTTTAGTGTTTTCTTGGGACTTGGAAAATGGCATGCAAACAAGCTGACTGCTTTAGAGGGATTTGGTTCTAAGGTCTTACACAATCAGCTACCATCACAGTAGAGAATCTGAGCAGATTCTAGCAGTGTATTAAACTTCAGGGCTATTGTTTCTGTCACTTGTGGTACCTCAGTCTCTCACCCTTATTTCAAAGAGAAATTACATGAAGTTGTTCCTCTTC